TAAATTTAAAAAACCCAACATGAAGTACGAGTGTTTTTTCAATGAAAGGCTAGTTTTTTTTTTCTCCCTTCGCATAATTGCTCAATAGTGTAAATATCACAAAATACCCCAAAATAATAGTAAAAATATTCGAAATCAATATCAATATTACACATGCATTAGAAACAATTGAAATTTAATAATATTCTTGCAAACATTAATGAACTTACGGAAATTTCTGGATTTCCTAAAAAGTTTGGATGCAAAATAAGAATTTAAAAAACATGGTTCGGTTTCAATAAAAAGAGATTATATATAAGGCATGGTATAACTGTGGATACGAAGATTAGGTAGATAGCATGCATACATACATACCATGTACATAATATATATATATATTATATATATTATATATAATATAATATATGATGAAAGTTTTGTCACGTTGATACATTTTCTAAAAATTTTTTCAGCCAACCGTCGAATTAAAAAAAAGATTAATAACAAAATTATTTTAATAAATAATTTTGTTATTTAATCTTTTTTTTTAATTCGACGGTTGGGCTGCAAAAATTTTTACAAATATATATATATATATATATATATATATATTATAATATAAATATAAAATAATGCCAATCATAATGTGTGTGAACTATGTAGCAGAAAGAATTATATTTTATACAATTTTATAAAGAATCATCAGTACTTTCTTAGTTTAGTTAATATTATTAACTAAGATTTTTCAGTCAATATTTTAAATAGATTAGTTATTTTCGAGTCATAGACATCGACGCGACCATCCTGAAGTTTTTAATTTAATAAAATTTCATTAATATATTATAGTAACGTTGCTTCGGATAAATATATTATAGTAAGTAACGTTGCTTCGGATAAAATAAATTAATAATATGGCATTTGATGACTGTTATATTATTATAAAAAGAACATAAGCATTGAAAGATTAAATGAATTAAAATATTTATATTATTAATAGTTAAAGTTGCTTTCGTGTCCACGCCAGCGCTTTAAATATTTATCAATTTAATTATAACTTTAAAATTCACGGCCAAATAGCGATGATCGACCACGAATATCACAAATATTATATTGCACAGCTAAAGAAAGAATTCGAATATTATATATTATAATTTAAAGAATTTCAATTGAATTCCTTCTCGTCGAATGCGTTACTGCATATATGATTAGATTCTCGGAATGCATTCTTAAAATGAAAGAACAATTATCAGAAATAACTTAACAAAGTGTTATCACAACTTACTACGTGTTAAACCCTGCTACTATCTACTATATTACTACTCTGGCTCAATCCATCGATATTTATAGTATTCGCTCCGAAAGTTTTAAAAGAGCGCGCGCTATCAACGATAGACAAACTATCGTTTGGTAAAACTTTAATTCTACTTCCGGGCACTTGCTAAGGTAATTGATGTCATCGCGTTTTTCTAAATTCACCGATAAGCTGTTGAAGTTCGAAAATGCTTCTAACTTCAAATCAGTGTCACGCAACCGCGAATTTATCTCTTCTATCATTAATTTCGATTCGTGAACTTTGAGTCTTGTTTGTAAAATGCAAGAATTAGATGAAACTGCGGTATCAATATTTTGGACTTCTTCCGCTTTCAAAGGTGGATGTTAGATTTTTGTTTCTGTAAATTCGATTTCGAAATTCGTAACTTAAGAGCCTTGCGCTCTGTTGTACAAGGATTTGAGAAAAAAACATTATCCTTTCCCATATCTTTATTTTTGTACGGAGAGGCAGAAGACTTTAAGCTTTTCTTTTCTTCATTTTTCAAAGCAGAATTGCAAGAACTCGATTCTTTCTCACTAGCGTAATGTACGCCATAGTCATCTTTCTTTATCACCAACTTCGGAATTACGTGTTTGGGCGAATGCTTCTTCTTTAAACTTTTGCTGTGATATTGTTCGTCTATGCTATTTAGTGCGTCTTCAAAATTTCTTTTTCTAGATTTTGCTTTAAGTTCGAGATCATATTCTTTAAACTGATTTTTGGGTATAATGCTATTTAAGCAGACTTTATTTGATTTTTTTTCAATAACATTTGCATCCTCGGTGATAGCATCAATTTCATTAGGATCATTATGTACATCGCTGACATTCTCGGTAACCTGAGCGATTGAACTATTACATGTAACGATTTCATTTGCTTCATTATTAAATTTGTCCAATAAAGAAGTTTTATGTTTATATTTGTATTTATTAGAATTGTTATGCTTGGTTTCAATAGGTAATTCACTTAAATCGTCAGAAAATGCATAATTATTTTTTATTACAGTTTTTATTTCAAACTCTTCATTCAATGAAAAGGCTTTAGAATCAAATTTATTGTTGTTTTCAATAATATTGTTATTATTATTCCCGCATTTATCATCATGCAATTTCTTAACAATTGCGTTGCTATTTACTCGACTTTTACTTTGAATCTTTGGCTTCGTAGATATGTCGAACATATTATTGCTTCGGGGGCACGTGTCAGTTCGTGCATCTGGAATCGAATAAACATCAATAGAACGGTTTACCTTTATTTTGTCTTCAGTTTGTAGACGCGATTTCTTAGAGCTATTATTGGCGTGATTATTCAAGAGTTTAAGGTCATTTACTTTAATAGAGGAAACAATTTCTTTGTTTGTAACAACCAGGTCTTCGGACAAAAATTTAGTTTCAGAATTATTTTCTTCTGAATTATTTTCAACTCTCTCCTTATCGTGCCCTTGCCGCTCATCGCGTATTTTTAAACCATCTTCAACACATTCGCTTTGTTTTTTTGGATTAACGTAATCACCCGCAAAATTCCGTTTTCTAATAAGCAATTTATAACCCTTGTTATCCCTATGACTACTATTTCCTACATACAATGGTTTATCAGCAGACTCACTACTATTTCCTAAATTATTTATAATTTCATTTAGATTTTGTGTCGATTGTTCAGTGTAGTATATTGCAGCAATGCTATGTCTTCGTTGTATCTTCGGTCTATTGTAAAAATTATTTCTTTGTTTTATTTTCACTTTAAAGTGATCAGGTTGAAATTTTATAGATTCTTCGGGTTTTATGCTCATTTTTTGTTTTGTGTTATATATATTATGTTCAAACTCCTTATCAACTTCATCTGAAGAACCAGATTTCGAAATTGCCTCTTCATGCTCAAGTGCGTTTCTCTGTTGCGAACGAACTAAAGAATGTTCCACATCATAGTTAAGTTGGTTTTCCTCACAATTGCTGATTTCTTCATGGGATTGTACCACTGGAGAGTCAATTTTTTCAAAACCCATAATTATATCTGTGGCCCTTTCTTGTTGAATTGTAAATTTCTTCATAAAAGTATTATCTATGTTATCACTATGTGATTTTTTATTTATGTCCTCAGAAAGCATAGTCTCCTTGCAATGATGGGCGCAATCAATGTCTTCAAAATCTATGTTGACGTTATGTTTCCTAACTGAATCTTTATTTTGAAATTCAAACCCAGAATGCGTTATCACACTTTTTCTCAAACGTCTTTGGTCTAACTTATCTTTGGTATCAAAGTTATTTTGGGCAATCTGTTTAGGTTTATTCATATATACATCATTGAAAACACTGTCATTTTCACATAGATTGACATTATCATTCAATTTGATTTTTCGTTTAACTTTATATCGGTCATTTAACAATTTTTTGAAAATCATATCAAAAAATTCATAATTTGAATTAGTATCATTTGCAGAATTTTCATTACACCACCCTTCATTACTTGTGCACTTGATGTTTAAATTATTTAAATTGCTGTTAAAATCTTGTTCAATTTTATTAGGATCGATATAAATGTATTTATTTTTGTTAATTTGCGCATTTTGAACGTTTTGATCTAAATGGAAACTCTGATCTAAAGTCGCATAATTATTTGCGTTAGACTTTGGTATTTCTGGTGTTGAAATATGTTTCGGAGTCATGATCCGACTTAAATCTGATCTGGTATTAAAATCGCTATCTTGAAGGTAGCAAATATGAGAAGAAATTTCTTTGGGGTCGTTATTATTATTAGTATTCGATTTTGGACAGCCGTCATCAAAATCATTTTCTGATAAAACTACAATTTGCTTCTTGAGTGGTTTATCAATAAGTTTAATGTTTTTGTCGCATTTCGAGTAAGTTTCAGTGTCAACACTATCCACATCAACACAGTTTAAGTCATCTGCAATGTCAGTAGGCTGCACATTATTTCCGTCTTGCTCACCACTTTTATCAATATTACTGACAGTGTGTACGTTATTAGCAGAACTTTTATCAATACTTCTATACTCTATTATTTCTTTGGTGTTTCTATTAACAACTTTCACTGAACGGAAATTATGTTTTTTAACTTTCTGTAGAATATCTTGAATATTCTCTATTTTAGAAAACTTTAAAGATTTATTAATAAATATGTCGTCTACATTATTTGAAATTTCATCTTTCAAAAAAACTTCAGGTGACTGCCTTCTTTCCAATTTTTTATTGTCATCCATAAAATTGTTTGCTTCTAAATACTTCATATTTCTTAATTTGAACAATTTTGCAGTAGTGTCAATTTGTTCATTATTTGAGTTATTAGAAAATTCATCTATCACTAACAACTCAGAATTATCCCTTAAATTAGAAGAATCTTGTTGATCAGTGCACATTTTTTCAGAATTGTTGTTGTGTTTCAATGACTTAGAATTTTCAGCATTATTAACAAAGCAACCATTTTCTAATAAAGCACTTTTATTTTGGTCTGTTAAATGATTATGTGAGTTATTTTTCTTATAACCTATTTCCATTTCCTTTATAGTATTCAAATTTGTATTAATTTTTGTATCTAAAACGACATTTTCAGAAATAATGGTTTCATTAGTATCAATGTGAGCATTACTATTACTGTCATCATCAGAAGTAAATATTACTTTTTTATCACATACAATTTCTTCAACAAACGGAAAATTATTTAGAGATAATTCATCTTGCAAATCATGTAAAATAGCACTGTTTTCATCAAATGGTATTAAATTTTGTTCTATATTTTGTTTAGAAATTAAAGACTTTGAACATTCTGTTGGTACGCTCTTGCAATTTTCTATAGGTGCATCAGATTCAGAAATACATTCCATGTCTGGATTATAAATACACAAAAAATAATCATTACCTGAAAGTTCTTTGTTACATTCCTCAGTCTTCACAGCAAATTGAAGTAAATCTTGACTTTCAATCTTCTTTTTTTCAACCAATACTATGTGTAGATTTTGCTCTGAAAATAATATAAACATAATAAACCAAACACTTCAGGTGCAAATCATTCAGAACAGTAAATTTAAAAAATAAATTCAAATATGATAATAATTATAATAATAATAATAATATATATATATATATAAATATATATATATATATATATATATATATATATATATATATATGAACAGTGTACATGTATTTTTTCAATAAATTTTCAAAAATATATATATATATATATTTTTATCGAATTTTGGTGTGTGTTCAGCATTTGAATTGGAAAATAGTTCGTCATTAAGATAAAATGTAAATTATTTCACTTCAATTTAATGTCAAAAATATAGGTTTAAACATAAATTAAGAATTCTGATTGAATATTCTAAAAATAAATAAATATGAATTTACACTAACCTGTGCTCTCTTCAGCTTTTTCTAAAACTACTTCCAATGAATCAGTTAGATACAGCTGACTACCATAATCAACATTTTCACAATCCAAAGTAAATGTGCTGTCATCACATTGGAAATAGACAATATCCAATGAAGATTCACTACAGTTATTATCATACTTCTGTAGATTATCAGAGGTTTGAGACTCTAATTCTATATGTTCTTCATCATCTTTCTTTGCTTCAACTTCATCTCGATTTGCTTCCTTCATTTCCAATGCATGCTCCAAATGAATATTCTCAACAGTTGAAATTCTAGAATATTTATCCACAATAACAGAATTTTCAGTTTCCTGCTCATCAGCACCATCAGCTATTAACTTCTCTATTTCATCAGTAACACTGGCCATATTTTGCATCTTCTTATCACTACCTAAAAATTGATTGACTGGCATATCAAACAAAATAGTTTTTTCTGGTACTTTTGTGTTTGTACTATACATTTCTCCAATATCATCCTTGCTAAAATTTGTATTAGTTGCTGATAAATTATTACTGCTTACATTGAGTTCAGATTTATCATTGATTCCTTGCAATGGCTTATCTATTTTCTCTTTATCAATTAAATCTGCATTAGTTTCAATGTTATAACTTTGAGTTTCACCGAAATGTGATATCTCATTTTGCTCTTGGTCCACTAGTGAAATATCATTATTACTGTCATTATTTTCATGAAGATTTTCATTCATTTCACACATTGTCTCAATACTTGTCTCTATTGTTTCTGATACATCAGACTTAAGTTTGTCAATATTGGAGTGTGTTATTTTCAAAGACTGAATAGAATTATTGAAATGTGATAAATGTTTTAAACTTATAGATGGTTCTGCATCCGTTTTATTTGAAGGAATGTCAATTACATTGGCTGTTGTTTTTAAATATTCTGCATTAAAGACTGATGAATTAACTGTCTCTGATCTTGTAGAAGGATCATCATATTTCACATTATCAGAATCATACATTTTATTTCTACTATCAAGTGCAATCCTACTTAGATTGCTTTTTCTTTTCGATTTATATTTCCTTATCAACTTTTGTATTTGCATTCCTTTTAAAACTAGTTCTTGATTATCATCGGTTATTTTAGAAATGCCTGATAAAGAATCATTTTGATGATCAAGGTCAATAATTTTGTTATGTTTTTGATTATCTGTATCATCTAACAAGGTGTTATCATATGATTCTGAGTCATGTTTGCCTAATAGCTCTTTGTATTGAATTTCAGTTGACATAGCGTTTTTAGAAGTGTCTAATCTATCTACCAAATTACCCAAAACCATTCCAGGGACTTCGTCCAGTTTGCTATCTGCTTTTACATATTCATGCATTTTATTTCTATTTTCATATTCAAAATCTTTTGTCATTATTTTTAAATTTAATGCCGTTTCCACTTCACAATTAATGTTTTCATCTTCAATCACAGTAGTGTTTGAAGCTTCAATATCTGCTACATCGTTTACAGTCATGCTTTCTGGTAATTTATCTACATTAATTGCAGTGCCCAAATCATATTTGGATTTATTTTCTTTATATTGCAATTCATTTGAGATCTCATCAAATGTCATATCTGTTAAATTATTTTTAAGTTGACAGGTAGATTCCTCTTTCCTAATAACAATTTCCTTATTATTGTTATGTGGTCCAAAATTATTTTCTTTTTCAAATATTAAACTTTCATTGTCACATTTAGGAATAAAATCACACTGATCTTTGATAGATGACTTTTGAATAGGAGCATTTAATTTGTGAATGTTTATTTGATTGTCATCAACATTTTTAAACTGATTTTGGTAGATATTTGAGTGTGATGTTTTAATCTTATAATTTAGTTCGCTATTTGGATTAACATCTTTGTCTAGAACAGCAAAATTTCCACATTCATTGACTGATTGTAACTCATGATCACTCTTAGTAATAATACAGGTTTCATTTCGAATAGAACAATTACTTATAAATTCATTAGGAACTTTATCTTTATGAATTGACATTGATGTTTCATTTTTCACATCATCTTTTTGTGAACATTCTTTTAAAGAAACTTCCTTATTCTCAAATTCTTGGCAGGTGGTATTATTATTGACTGCATCACAAGAAATTTTGTTTTTATCAGATAAATTAATACACTCTTCAGAATATCTACAAGGTGTAAAGTCAGCTATTTTATTACCATCTATTTTGTTTTCAATTGAAAAGATTTCAGTACCAGCAGAATTAATGCTTGCATTACTACTGGCAAATTTTCCATTGTTGGTTAATGATTCAGAAAACGAAGTTTTATAGAAGATATCTACACCAGAAAGTTGTTCAGTTAAACTATTCTTCATGTTACTGCTCTCAGGCATCCTTATTGGTTTCTTATCCAAATTAAATATTAATTCATCTGAATATTCACTTTGATTTTGTTTCAATTCTTTGGGACTTTTCTCTTTGGTAAAAATCATTTTGATATTATTATTACCCAATACTTTGCAACTATAGCTCTCTACAATAGCATCCTTTTGAGTCAATGATTCAATTGTCTTTTCATTTGGAGCAATCTCTTCAACAATATTATCACCATGAACAAAAGCACTATCTGCAGATTTCTGATCACAAGAATTATTTCCTTTTACTACATTTTTGAGCTCCACATTCTCCTTGCATAAGTATAAACTCTGGTCTTGCCCACTAGTATTAGAAATGGTAGTATTAGGTGGTACATCTCTGAAATCTTTCTCATTTTGTCCATCACTCTTGAAATCTATATTATCAGATTTGCTTAGCTCTTGTTCATCATTTTTATCATCTGATTTAATTACAATGCCAGCTTTAAAATCGTTTACATTCTGAGTGATTATATTATTTAATGAAGGTTTATTTAAACTACTAACAGATAGTTCACTTAATGGATCTTGATAATTACAGTTTTTCAAAATATGTTTCTTATCTCTGTCTGTTATTAAAACATCAGACAAAATTTGAAATTTATTTTCTATGTTCGATTTTACTTGTCTTGTAATATTTTCTTGCATAGAATCAAATGTCATATGATTATTTTTAAAATGGTTATCTGTCTGAATTAAATTTTCCCCTGTGCCATTATTTTTGTCAATGCTAAAAGACTGTTTCTGAATTTGTGATATTGGTGTTTTGCTAATGACTTGATTTTTGCAACTATCTTTACTAAAATTTACACCATTATACTCTTTTGATAATGCATTGAAGTTTCCTGAAATATTTCGTGCCACTGAAAAATCTTTGACTGTATTACTATTACCATACATGCAGTCAGTCAAAATACTTTTTTCTTGACTCGTATCACTATATCTGCATGAATCAGCTGAAACTTGGTCATTCACATAGTTATTTGTGAATGTATTTGAATCACCTGGCAAGTGATAACTAGGGACTGGCTTAATAGAATTCTGTTGATAATAATCAGGTCTATTTACAATAGATTTTGGATATTTTTGCGCTTGGGTATAATTCCAAAATAGTCGTTTTGGATCTGATTCACAGGTAGGGTTCAGCTTTTCAATATTTTGCTCACAAAGTGTCTGAACACCTATGTCTGTGGTAGTTTTTAAATCAGCATTGTTAGGTTGAATATCTGTGTGAGATATATGAACAGTCAATTGCTTCTGAACTGCATCGCAAGGCTTTATATCAAAACTGCATGCAATCGCGTCTTTGCTAATAACAGACTGGGATAATATGGTTTCAATATCCACTGGGCTTGGTGGCCTTTCAATTAACTGCAAATTAGTTTCCTGACATTTAGATATGGATTTATCTAAAGCACTGCATGATATATTATTGTCATTTATTTTAGTTGAAATAACTGTAAGATTTTGATCTGTTTTTTCAACAGTCTTGCAATTCAAATTATTGTATGATATAGAAGAATTTTCTTTTGAGCTATTGAAATTATTAGCATTAACATCTTGAGTAGTCCTGATTTCATTATTAACATATTGCATACCTGTAGCACTTTGGTCATTCACGACAGATGAAAAACCACAAATATTTTCTGGTAACTTTGTAACTTGTGTAATATGCTTATATTTATCTAAATCCTCACTTGATATATCTGTATATTCCAAAACATACAATTGTTCATTTGAACTAACATTTGTAATATTTTTTTCTGTTTCCTGATTAATCACTTCATCATCAGTTTCATCCCAAGTCGAGAGAAACTTGCGCAAATCTAATTTGTCTTTATCATTCTCAGATGACCGTTTCACAATAGACGTATTTATAAAATTTTCAACATCACTAGCATAATTTTCCTTGGCAGCCACTTCAGTAATATTTTTTCTTGTCACACACTTTGCAGGATTTTTGAATTCTCCATCATGATTGAAAACACTTCCTACACTACTAGATGTTGAGCTTCGACTAACATAATTGCTTTCATCTAACAAATATTGTTTAGTTGAACTTGTATCACTCACATTAGAATCTGTTGGAGATATCACATTAGGAGAATATATAGTGGACGGATAAATGTATTGAGGCTGCCTTGAGTTATAATAAATGTCCTGTTTTGGATATTTGGGGCCGTAATTGTCTTCATAATGTGGTTGTTTAATTTCCATACATCTCATATTTGTAGAAGAAGAGCTGGGATAGTTATTATTGTTATGATTAAACATGGTGGGTGCTTTACTGAAGGTTTGATCTCTGCAATGTTTTTGAAGTCGATTTGTGTAAGTGAGGTTACTATCCAAAGGTCGACTAACAATAACAGATGGATGCAAGCTTTCCGGCTTCATTATTACCGAGTTATTTTTTTGTTGATAATCTTGATACAATTTATGATTAGCTAAAACCCCATCATAGCTGCTTTGCGGATAAGGTATTCTACTGGATTCATATGTATTTGGTTGGACTCTTGAATGCTGTGCATTCACCTAAAAATAAGCAACATAATTCACATTATATATATATATATATATATATATATATATATATATAAATGCGTGTGTGTCTGTGTGTAAGTGCATACAGCATTGTGTAAAAACAAATTCATAACATAGAAAAGCCAATAATGGTTAACAAAAATTATGAAAATGCTTAGCTATTTTATGAATACATAACTTGTATATTTTAGAAATATAGAAAATGTATCTTGAGCATACGTGTGGTGTCATAAGTTCAAATATATATATATATATATATATATATATATATATATATATATTATAATACCTGTGGCATAAAATGCTGAGATCTGTTATAAAGTGTTTTTTGCATGGCTGCATATGCTTTTTGATCGCCACTAATATATTGATTAATAGTCCTAGGATTATAATTTTGAGCTAAATCCTCGTAGTGTGATAGAACATCACCATATTTACCATACATGTATTCAGAATTGTGCAATTTTGATCTGTCAAGTATTTTTTGATGATTAATATATTCTGAATGTGTCAGCTTTGGCCTCTCAAATAATTTTGATTGATGATTAGCATAATCAGTAGTTGTCACTTTGGATTTGTCTAAAAGTCTTTGATGATTTTGATAGATTTCATGGTTATATGCCGTAGATGACGATGGGCCACAACAACTTGGGTTTGAATGGTGAGACTCATTGAAGGGTTTTGTAGCATAAGGTCTTGCTATTTCTTTTGGTACATATCGGACATTAGATGCTACCTTATGTAAAGCATCATCTCTTGGTAAAATGCTTTGGGAACCATCTCCCGCATTGTGAGGAAACAGTTCTGGGGGACAATAATCATGATTTGTTAACAATCGATGATGATGGTATGGGTTGTACACATGATTGATGTTTGCATACGCTAGTGAGTTTGCTTCATACTTATTTTCATTATTTATTTCTTGTATGACACTTTGCTGATTTGGTTGTGTATTTGGGAGCACTATTCTTGACAAATTTTCTTGGTATGTGCATCTAGGAGATATATTTCGTGGTTGGTGATCTAATGCAGCGGTATTATAGTTCCTGGGATCAAAAACTGTATTATATGGCCTTGTTTGAGAAGCTTGTTGATGAGTAGGCCATAACTGGGAATAGTCACAAGAACTTGGTATGTGAAATGGATCAGCTTGCGCTTGGCTTGCATCACCATATCTCTGATGTGGCATAGAATAATGAGCAGTTGCATTATGATGAGCGGTTTGCTGTATTTGACCCGGCAAATACTTATTTCTATTCAAATTATCCATCGCCTTTAGTGCTAGACAAACTTGTTATTATTTTTAATAATTGATTTGTCAAAGATGTCATATTTGCATGTTAAGTTCTCTATTATCACCTACTAGTAGCATCCTAAAATAATATATTCTTGATTAGAATTGCATTTATAATAAATTATTTATAATTCATAATTATTTATAATTTACAAACAACCAATCACTTCAAATTGGACACTAAATTTACATATTTTAAAAGCAGATAATTTTAACATATTTAAAATACAAGCAATATCACAAACAATTTTATTTTACAACATCATAGATTATCATTCATCCTCTTAAAGAATGTTCATATTATGATAACAATGGCATGTTCAATACCACATATTTTGTAAATATCTAACATGCTCTTGAATATTTCAAACCCAGTCATTTTCATAAAATAAATTGTAAATATATTAATATCTGAATACCTGTATGTATTGTATTAATTGAATATTAAAATATTTTACTGAATCCGAGTGGCGCTATAATTCGAATATTATAATAAAGAAGTGCATAGTTTGGTATTTGTTTGTATTTTAGATAGTGTACAAAGATAATGGATAATTGTGTTTGTTTCCTTAAGTATGATTACAATCATTAAATAATCTATTATTTAATATTTTATCGTTACGTGTAACAATATGCGTCGTCCAAACGTAAAACAAATGTTGCGAAATAAACGTTTTTCTCTATGAATCTTATACATGCCAGGTAGACAATAAAAACAATAACACGTAAAGGCGAAAATGTGCATTCATGAAACAATCATTTTCTCTAACGATACTTATTACTATAATATTACTAATAGTTATTAAGCCATTTTTTTAATAAAGATGTCAAAAGACGGTATTTATTTTCTTATTTTACTTACTTTCAACACGTACGTATTTGACACTTCACTTCACTTTCGGCCATTTTCGCGAAACTTAAAATATGGTTGGCAATTTGAAATTTTCTTTTATAAAGTTGGTCACAATTGAATCACGGACTAGCTAACAGCACCTCTGATCAAATCCAATCAAATCCTTGCCCCCACAGGGATAATAAAACTATTTTGAAAAAGTTAATATATGGAGGCATTTATACATAGGGAAATCTATATGGTAAAATTCAGTGAAACTTTATGAAGATATACTCTTCTTTTATCTATGCCTAGCCCCTGGACAATATTAGAATATGATGTCCTAGCCAATATGAGATTATAATATTCTCTCAAATCATGCTCAAATCAAACCTAATTTTTTGTACATATTGTAAAGTATTCATTGTGAATAGGCTAATTCAATTGCGTTAACAGTAAATTTTAATGACAGGTGTGTGAAAAATATAAAGAACACTCGATAAATTTTTCCATAACTTTGCTACGCATTTGTTGTTTATCAACATAGAAACTTAAAATTTATATGAAGATACATTTATTTAAAATAAATAATAAATTAATATTCATTTCATATGTACATTTTCAGGTCATAATTATTTATCATTCACATTCAGTCAATAAAACACAAGTTTTTTAAATTTATCCACAAATATCATAAAGTCAATAGCATGTTGGCGTCAAAATGACAGCTTCTATCAGCTTGTTTATTGTATATTAATTTGCTTTGCGTTTGCTTATGCATACAGGCACTAAAATTCGATAATTATTAAGATATAGAATTAGTAATAATGGAATTGTTTTGAAAAAAAAAATGAATATATGGAGGCATTTATACATAGGGAAATCTATATGGTAGAATTCAGTGAATCTTTATGAAGAATAAATTATGTTGTGATTTCACTTGCAAATTTCTGAGTTACAGCAGTAAAATTGTATGTTCATTTTCATTGATTAACAATAATGATGCATTGGATGAATATATATGATATAATATAGGAATTAATGGTATTTTTCTGTACTCAAAACAAAACAAATTCAATGGCAAAAACAACACAGCTGCCAAATATATCTGAAATATTTTACAAATATTAAGCATATCAATGAAAGCTTATATTTTTATATTATAATTTTATGCAATAAATATTTTATATAATGGATAACGTAAGTACCATTGTAACAATAGTTCCAAACAATGACAGTACCCCTCTAATAAAAAATGACAAAATTTCAAATGGTTTATCAATATGGAGTTCGGGAGAAAGTGGCTATTATACAACACCAGGTAATAAGTAGAAATTTAATTATGCCTTACATATAAAATTGTAATTGCTATATGTTGTGTAAATTAATTGCCTTGTTAATTTACTCAGTTGTTATACACAACTTCAGAACATTATTGTATGTCATCGATAATCAATTTCATGCCTTCTTGAATTATGGCTGTGTAAACTAACAACGAAATAATACATTACTGACATTAAATCTAATATTAAGAGTAAACAAATTGGCAGATCTTGTTGATTATAAATTTAGAAGTTTAAAACCTTTTTTTGGCATTTATATATTAGGCACAATAACATAACGAAAAGAAAAAAAAACAAACAACTTTTTGAAAATCAAAAGTTTAAAAATTCAATGCATTTTCCAAATAAGATAGATAGCCCAATAAGACTAACAATAATATTGAATATGACTAGACCGTAATCTGAAATTTACTAATAATAATGAAAATATAGTATACATTTTTTAGTATATAAGTTCATATGCCTATGTAACACACAATGCATAGTGAATAAAATTTAATTCGATCATTTTCTCTACTTGTTCCAGGCTCTGTGGATAATAGCTTATTTTCATCTTCTACAAAGTTAGGCCCTATTGCTATAATACCATGTGAAACACCTAAGTTACGAGGTCAGACAAGACCTCGAAAACGAGCATCAAGCCTTACTGATATGATCGATAGCCATTTGATTGAAACAAATAGTTCTTTACCTGAATTTGATTCTGGTTATCTTGAGGACAATGTTTTTTCTGTGAATAAAAAGAATAGTAAGTTACAATTATTCGAATACTAATAATTATCAGTGGTTTGTTCTCAAATACGTACATGCATTCAGTGTCCCATTTTTCCTCCCTGGAACCTAACTAAACTACTTTTCAAATTTTTCTTTCGACATAATGTACTTGCAAACCTTTCTCTTCAAACTAGTTCACATTACCCTTTACATTCAATTAAGTCACCTTTTATTGATTGTGCATCACTTACAAAAAATTATATATATATATATATATATATATATATATATATATAACATTTAGTTAAATATGAACAATATACCATTCTGATTTCTAACACACACTTTATTGTGTTTTTTGTATTTTCAAAAATTAAATGTAATTTAGACAAAATATTAAAGAATGTGCAGTATATAAGTAATTGTTTTGAAATTACACTGACGATGAGGCATACCAAGGTCTCGAAACATCTGTAATTACCAAATAAAGTGTATGTTAAAAATCTGTTGTATTGTTCATATTTTAACATTTAATATTCGTTCCACTCATATCACAAAAATCTATAATATATATATATATATATATATATATATATATATATAATGTATGATAATTTAAAGGTGATCAAGATATGGAGATACATAGGTCTCATAAAAGATTATGCAAACAAAAAATTAAAGTTCAGATGCCATTGATAACTTTAATTGAAGAACAAAGCAATGAATCAATATTTGAAAATGCCATTGAAAGTTCATCATTTTTCGAGCACAGTCATTCATCTGTAGAAGAACGAGCTATTCAACAATTTATGAATAATAATTTTGAAAGTGAAAAAGATTTATTTGGAAAACAAAATAAGAATAATATTTTGTCAGACTCCAAATCCTGTCCAGTAACTCCTGAGAAGCAAATGAAATCAAAAATAGTAATATCTAGTCCTATCAGTAATAGTAAAAGACCTAATCCAGAATCAAATATTAATAAATTTTATCCGCCAATATTTTATGAACAAAATCAAAGCTTAAGCATAAAGGTGTCTAAGAATGATGATTTTAATATTAAAAGAACTCCCACAAAAAGGTATTTGCAAATTGAAAATAATGTTTTTGCATATAAAATTATTTCCAATATTAAGTTGATGAAATAATAAAATTTTTTTTCACACTATTTCTAGATTAGGAATATCAGCCGAGTCTGAGAAAAATAATATCTTATATCACTTCAGACCAATAACGCCTCCAAAGTCAGCTTATTCTACTCAAATAATATCCCCAAATAAGAATAAAACAAATACAAAAAATAAAAGTGATAAAAAATTATCTGCTAAAATTAAATTAGAGTTTTTACATCTTCAAAAAATTGATATCATGGATAAGCTTGCTGAATTTGATTTGGTTTGGGGTGTTCTGAAGTATCTTTTTGATGAGGATTTATGCAGGTAGTTTCATAACTTTAAAAGGAATAATATACCCATATTTATAATTAATACAAATCCATTTTATTCATACAGGTTCTGTATGGTTTCTAAACGCTGGCGTGATATTTGTTTGAAAGATTCCAGAGCAAGTAAGCGCAGGTCGAAATATTTACTTGAAAAACGTCGGGATAAAGAGAATTATGTGTTAGCTGCCAAAAAAAATTCTGGTGAAGCAAGCGACATATTGAATGAAGTGAAAAATATAGTTAGTAGAAAAAATTTTGCTGAAATTCAAAATAGTAATGACAAAAGAATAAAAGGCACTGCAGTGCTAAATTGCAACAGTGATAATAATAGCAATATAAGTGCCAGCCCACCTATAAGTCCAAGAAGAGCAACTTTACTTAAATTCGTACAGGTGTTTAAAATATCATTTGCATAATGAATACATAATCGATTTCAATTAATGTTATTATATTTTTAGGCTGGAAAAAAATTGGATCCTCAAAAATGTCTGAAAAAATGTCCTAAATGCTCAGGCCCAGCACATCCATCATTGAAGAGATTAAATAAAGGTTCTCCAAATAATTACTGTTTTGAATCTAAAAAGAAGGAAGAAAATTTGCAGTATAAAAAAGCTAAAGTAAGAAATCATTCATATTCAAATTCCCAAGGAAAAGGTATAGGTAATAAATTTCACAAAAGGAATTCCCAAAATGCTGAAGTTAGTAACATTTTCAAAGAACACTCTCAAACAAGTTCCAGAGATGAAAAAGCAATTAAGGCAAATCATTCTATATCATGTAAAAGTTTGTTTGAAAATAATAGTGAAAACAACTCAAGCATTTTTAAATCTGAAGGAAAGCAAATACTATATGACAAAGCTTCAATCAATTTGAAGTGGTCAAACAGGAATGAGTTAAATAACTCCACCAGTAGCCGAAAGAAAAAAAATTGTACAGATAATGTATGCCTCTCTAGAGAAAGATCTGATAAGACAATGAAAGATAACATTTGTGACATCAACAGTCTAGCATATAAATCAAATCACCAAGATAATGAAAATGAAAATCAAATAATAGAATATAATTGTGATTCTTCTAGATGTGGATATGCATTTTGTGTGTTGTGCCTTGGACCTGCCCATGTTGATGGTTTTTGTCCTCAGGCTGAACTACAATTACAAGAGCGTAGTCCTACCAGATTAACTCAAGAAAATGAAACTTATCGGAACAGTAAAAAAATTAAGAAGAGTTTAAGAAGACTACTTTAGTACAATCATTTTAAATATTATTTTTATTGATGGTGATAGTGTTTTAGCATTTTAAAATTTTAACTTAAATTTGTTTTTTATGTAATTTATCCAAGTCCATTTTTTAATTTAAGGACTTATTTTTACCTAAATCTTATTTTTAAAAAAAGCTATTTGAGAATTCATATTATTAATGATTTTATTAACATTTTATTTGTTTTTTATTTTAATTTAAGGCAGCAGTAGTATTTCCAATCACAAACTGTAGGCATATTTCTTTACAATCGTTTTTTTTCCGATTGTACTGCTTTTTTTACAATAGTTTTAAACTCAAATTTAGACGTTTACAGAAAATAAATATTTAGACTTAATGTTTGGATATGAGCTCAATATTCGCAAAAGTAAAACTTTTTTTATATATTCATTAAAAACTATACATAGAATACAAGAATACTCTATATATTTTAACATAGAATACTAGTACAAAGTATAATAATATCCAGCTTTAGTTGTAACTATTCTTATATTAGAATAAAATTTGTTTTCAATTCACTAAATATAGTACCATTGGTGGCAATAATGATGTTAAATTTGTTTGTTTAAGAAAAGGGCTCATGTCAAAATGTATTCAAAATCATTAATTTGTAGTTACATATTGGTATATATATTCGAAATGTTATTTAGAGACCATAGGATGATATTTTTTTTACTTATGTATTAACGTACAAATGATAGAATTGCTAAACATCAGCACCAATTTGTTGAAAAATTTCCAGTCAGACTCCAGGCAGTTTAAAAGATTTTTTAAAATTTGTATCAATGTGATTTAATATATTAGTTGTATTCAATACATAAAATCTTAAAATCATCACAAATCTTTATATTAATTGTATAAATATAAATTATTTTTTATAAGCAGTTGACTTTTATTTTTTCATGTTATATTATATACATTTTTTAAATTTGTGAACTTTATTAACCGAACTGAACAAGTTTTATGTCAAAAAAAAAATCTACACTCATCTCCAACAAAATCTATGCCCGGTCAAGAAAAACAACTTTCATATAAATTTGATAAATATAATTCATATAATATAAACTTCACATATGGTATATAAAAAAATATTTTATACAATGTAACCAGTACTAATTCATTGACTAAACAAGTTCAATAAAACTTTCAATTAGAATAAATATTATAATCACAAATATTTTAGTATAAAATATTTTGTTTGAGCATTAGCTTAAAAAATGGGTATAATAATATAAATACCTCTTTCATTCTCAGAAAGATTCAGTCTATGGTCTGAAGCGGTTTTTCTGTGATTAGCAAACCTTTCTCCCACATGTTTTGTGTCAAAGTCACTTTTTGAATTAAGGTCGGCAAAGGTAAATCAGCAATTTTCGAAAAATAGGGATACTGTCCCAGTAAGAAATCAACAGCACGTGCTTCCACTTCATCAACTTCCAGATACTGAGGTTCTATTTCTTTATATTCCTTGGTGTTGTCCATACAGTAATATACTCTAATTTGATTATCTTCATGAATCATTCTAAAAAATAAATAAAAATTACTTAGAAATACTAATAAGGTAGTTCTTTATAATCAAATATTTTTAATCACAGAATATTCAAATTCAGTTCTGTTCTAACCTAAGAACGTTGGCTCTGATTAATCTGATTTGAGTGTTTGGGGCCAATTGTACTTTTCTTTTTATAGTACCATTTTCTGTCATTATTTCACCATCACCGAAAACTGTACAAGGTAGTTCTTGAGCATTTATGGCTGGTGGCAATGCACTATGCTGATATTCTTTCCACATCTGATCAACAGCTGCATCTACATATACACAGATTATTTTTTGCATTAAACATGAAATAATAACAAAATCTTAATTGTTTCAAATAAATTTTCATCAACACATTTGAAACAAAACATTTAGTTTCAAAGGTCACCTCGTTTTATTTATTTATTTTGCCGCATTCATCAAACTGAGAATAATAGTTCTTCTCTTTGATAACTTTTTCACTTAAAATTAAGATCTATGTAAGTTAAAATTATCATACCTATAGGTGCATATTCCACTGCTTGAATAAGGAGTTGTTTTATCTTATTGACAAGTTGAATCCTTCTGGGGGATCTTTTGTCACAATGAACCAAACCTAAATAATTAGGAAGATCTAAAGGAAGTCCTTTACGAAAAGAAAGACATTCTGCCACAGCTGTTTGTAACATTCCAGGAACAACCTGAAAACATCAATTTGTGTTATCATGAATCAAACGATATGCTGTAGGAATAAACTAAGTATAATTAAAACAAGGCACAAATAAGGCTATTCCAAGAGATTAGATGATAAATACATAGAAAGCCACAACAGCATTTTTAGAAGATAAAAATTTATTGATTAGGGCAAACAACTTTAAAAATATACAAAAAAAAAAATCGTGTGTACAATATAATACTACAACTTTCTGGTGTGACTATTCCACTTGCTACTTATTTTTTACCTTCTCCAATAAATCTGCATAACTATGGTTTTGATACATGCTGATAGTAACATGTAATGAATGCTGATCTCCTAAAGTATATGCTTCATGAATGGTTCCTCTTGGAAAATATAAAAGATCTCCAGCCTGCAAGTCAACTTCAAAAATCGGGCTACCAATTTCTTCTCTAGTAAAATTTTGGGAGGATACTCTAGGTAAAACTTCTGAAGTATTTCTATAATACATATAATATTATGGTTTGCATGATATGTGACACAATAAAAATATAAACTAATTTTTTTAATAAAATTTCTGGAAAAAATTCTTCATAAAAACAATATTAAATGTATCATTTGATTTATAGATTAATCATATTTGTGATATCTAGTCTATATTCACATACCGTGGAGCGTATAGTTTCCAATGCTTTTTCCCTTCAATTTGAATAATAAAAGCTTCTATATCATCATAATGGGGAGCAAAGCCCTGGCTTCCTGGTGGTGTTAAATAAGAATTTGCTCCTACCATACAACCAAAAAATTCTTGTAATGTTGCACAGAGGAGGTGCAGCTTGGGTATATAAGCCTGCAAAGTAGTAACATTCTATATATAATGTCAAGTGATTTCATAAAATAAAATAATGCTTATTCAAAGAATTCGGAAATATATTTCAAAAATTTATCTAACACTTTTGAAGTGTGCACCCCATACAAATGATACCTGTGGATTAAGAATCCGAACACTACATCCATTAAGAAAGAAATCCCAAACTACTGGTGCCAATGCTCTCCCCGTTGGATTGTGTGTTTCTCTGACACCTACAAATAAAGTTACAAAAATTGAACGTGGGTTATAGCAACAGTAAATCATAGGTAACTATCTAGATTTAGTTAATTAGTGAAATATATTGGTAAGAAGATGGATAAGATTTTGAAGGATTTTACATCTTTACAATAAATCATGATATCTGAAGAATATCAAGTGACTTCCATTTCACAATTCATTGATTCACAAAATCATTTATGCATTAATAGTGTACATAAATCGTGATAAATATCTAAAAACTTAGTTCATACTACTCTTCACAAAAAATGTTAGGATATAGACTTACCATTATCATATGATGTAATGTCAACATTTTTTGTGTAATCCAATCGTTGAAGCCTTAATAAATGATCAATTTGTACAGAGGACATTACATTTTCATAGTAAGATGAATCATTCCTAATTACGTGATAGTGTTGCTTCTCCCACACATCACTAAATAATAAAAAAATAGGATTAAGTAAAGAATGTAAGTATGTGATACTAATGTATTAAAAATTTGTGGAATCATATAAGATCAAAGCTTCTTAATACTCATTGCCCGAATAACAAATGCTACTCAAGGGCTCAATCTCGGAGTATAATCATGTTAAAATTTAGAATAACGCTATGCAAAATTATAAATTAAGTATGAAAAATCAAAATTTTTATTAAGTATGACTGTATCATGAATACACTATTATACCAGTTTCTCATGTTTTTGTAAGCATATCATGACGCTCCTCAAAAGAGAGCTTGTAACAAATTACCTTTAGTCGAGCAAAGTTTAAAACATAAAAATATCCAATACACTATTGTACGCAATAATTTAAAAATAACCCTAGAACCAAATGCAAATAACCTATTGAAGCTTACAATTATAATTTAATAGAATTCACAAACTAATATAATTATGTGATCAAAATCAAGTGAATTCTGTATTATAATTCTGTACTACAAATTTTATCTATACAACTTAGTAATTTAGTTTTATTAAGAAGTTTTTTCTCTGCTAGATCCGAGGGTGAAAATGTCACATTTAATATGTTTTTGCAGCATTTTTTGTATGAATGTTATATATTGAATATGTAAATTCATGCATAGAGATCACATACAAAAATAAAACCAAAATTATCAATTCACATATAATAATTACTAATTATTTTAGCAGCTGCATTCCAGCTCAACTGACTTAAAACAAAAAAATTGCTTGGTATCTAATGACAAACTTCTTTTCAATTCTGTCAAAAATTGTCTCCTTGCAGAAAAATGTTATGCTGTGGAATACAATATTATTAAGATATTGTTAACTTTTTGTTAAAGAAAAAAATTACCTGAAGAAATAATGTAAATCTGTTGGTGCAACAAGCCAAGCAAATAACTTTTTGCCTTCAACAATACTATGGGTCATTTGAAACTCAGGTAGAGTCAAATCCACTACCATTTGAGAATCCGAGTTCATTATTTCATCTGAGTTCAACCTAGCATCAGTATTTTCGTTCTGAATGGTAGGTAATGCTTCCGAGTTACTGTTGGATGTATTAGCACTCGGTTTAGATACTTTATCCTTACTTTGTTTGGATTTCTTGTTTTTTTGTCCAACTTTTACTTTTATATGCTTAGATCTCAAAGTTTTTTCACTAACATTTTTAGTTTGGTCCAAAAGCCTGGATGGATCAACTAGTTGTAACCTAGGAACTTCTTGTGAGTCAGCAATACTGGAATCACCACTCCTTGAAGGTGTACCCTTTTGAGGCGTACTATTAGATTCTTTTGGCGACATGTGATTAGACTGTGCTGTATCCAAATTAGCAACAGACGTACCAGCAACAGGGCTATGTCCGTTAATCTCTGCAGATATATTCACTTTATCTGCTAAGTTCTGCCGTGTAGATAACTTCTTAGGTACAGGCTTTTTTCTAGGCTTTCTTTGTGGCTTTTGAGGAGGATTACCTTCATTAAGCTCTTCATTTTGTGATGTGTTGATTTCAACAAGAGAGCTGCTACTTTCATTTGCAGAAGTCAAGTTATCAGTTCCAGCATTCTGCTTGCTTGAAGCTTTCTTAGTTATCTTCTTAGAAGTTGTCGCATCACTTTCGTTATCTGTGGTCCTTTTTCGTTTAGATTTTTTATTAAGAATGTTATTCTGCAAATCTTCCTCCATTTGTAGCTGCTTCCTCCGTATCTCTAGTAATTCTTGCAAGCTCTTTTCCATAACGACAAAGAGCCGGCTAAAAAAAATAATATCATATATAGCAGATGATAAAGATAATTTTAAGGAGAATAACAAATTATCACAGGTTGACATGAACATGGGATTAGAAGTTCTGTTGTATCTCGACACCGGCTAAATTTTCAACAAGGCGAAAATAGGTTATGAATGAAGTTAATTCTAACCTTAGAAGGATTCTATGTAATATCAATATAATATTTAACTAATGAATCAATATTTAACGAAAAACAATAACATTAATATCTTACGTTCAGATTTTTTAACTAACAACGTTCACTAATGCACATAAACAATGCAACGTGCTCTCGCGTTAACCTCGGCTGTCGGCTCCTCGTTTGCTAAGTACACAGTAGCTGACAACATAACCATAAGCATAAGCAAATCATTGCCGACTTCACTAAGTGTAGGTATCAATTTAAAAATTTGTGTAACTACTGAATCAGGACTAAATAATAGGCTTGTATTGATAACAATTTTATAGTAATAATTATTATTATATTACTTCAATGGCACTATTTAATGCTATTTTTAACTACAGGTTACTCTCGTACAACCATACTTCTATAACACGGATTCGCTATGATACGGTTCGAGATTATAACATGGTACTTTTTTAGCAGGGTCTGATAATTAAGCAAAACCCTAATGAAATATAAAATAAACAATAAAAGCTACTAAAAGCGAACTGTATTGATAAAATTGCCGTACAACAGTCCAATAAACGTGGAGAAACCTAGTCGTTAGTAGCATTTTGCCTTAAGGCAAGTTGTTTCAACTTCCGGTACTTAGATAAAATGTTCAACAATTCATTTCGAAAATAAAATTTTGACTTAATAAAAATCGATACGATTTCCAATTGGTGTCTTTCAACCATCTATAATTGTATAAATTAAATTAATTTGTTAAGCTCATTTCATTTCATCCTTATCGTGCGCTAAAAATTAAAGTGCGCACGTAAGCTGTAATCAGTAGCTATACACAAAACACGAAACGCATATACATAGGTAAAAGAAGAGCACATAGACGTTCAAATAGTTTTCGAACGCTTATTGCAGACCTATAATATTTTAGTATGTTATTTCCTACTACGAAATACATCATTCTACAAGTTTAATCACAATCGTCATAAAATTTCAACATTTTATTACGAAAAAACGGCCCGGCGTATCTTTACCAAAAACTAAACAACGCGATTCGCAACTAATTTCGTTCGAACAGTTTTTGAATTATTAGAATCTCTCATTAAATAACACGAAAAGTTAATTTAGTATGTCATACTTCTTTAAAAACGTATGAACCTACATTAGCGTTAACCGTAACCCCTCCATTTGTACTAGTCCTTTGCTTCGTATAAGAGGGTACTTTTTTGGAACGTGTCTACCTGTCTACCTACCCTTCTTTACTCTTTTCTATACTCTTCTATTATCTATGTACCTACCTATATTGGCGAAACAAAACGAATGTTTGCCTTGTATAATAGAGAGAAATTCTGTTATAAATCGCCATCGACTAAATTTTCAACCGGGTAAAAATTAGGTTATGAATCAAATTAATACTAGTCTCAGTAGAATCCTGTACATTATGTAAAATCAATATAATATACAACTTATAACTATATTTAACAAAAAATAATAATATAACTAACTTACCTTTATTACTTCAGTGGAAAATCAACGTTCTCTAACACTAATAAACATAAACAATACACAATACGTCTCGCTCGCGTTCAACTGGTAAAGATAAGGAGCAGTTCAGTTCTGTGCTAAGTAATTTTAATCAACACCAACATACGAAACTCATTGCTGACTTCACTTCTTGTCCGCAAACTGAAAGATAAACTCGTGTAGGTATTGAATCAGGAGTAAATAACAGGCTTGCGCTAACAACACATTTTTCATTGAATTATTATTTTAAATTCAATGGTCCTGTTTAATGCCCCGTTTATTTACATTGGGGATTTAAAAGAAAAAACTAGTTGTGAATGGCATCATGCCTTTAGGCAAATTTAAAGCTTTAAAAAAACTTGAAAACTTTGGAATATTAGATTTTTTAATAAATTGGACATTTTTGAAAAATTTGAAATATTTATTTTCTATTCACTTCCCGTAGGGCAAGTTATAGTCATCGCAAAAAAATCGAAAATGAAATTTTTATATATCTTTTTATATTCTGTTTTCTTATATTTTATATATTTTCAACTTTGATTTTTTTATATTTAACTTCCCGTAGGCTAAATTATATTAATCGCAAAAAAATCGAAAATAAAATGTTTTTGCATATCTTTACGTTTTAAGTTCTGAACATTTTGGCTTAGAAGAAATGGATGCTTGTATGTATGTGCGGATACAAATTTTCGTCATCGATTTCGGGAGCACGGGTCAACCGATTTGAATAATTCAAAATACATTCGATTCATATTGATAAGTAGACGTGCTGATTAGTTTTTGGCAAAGGCCGGTCGTTTTGAAGTTACGGGGCAAAAAGTGCCAAAAATGGTAATTGATTTCTTGAGAGAACGGAATGTGCAATTGGTATGATTCAAAAAACATTTTATTTGTATTGACGAAATAAAGAACTGATGCAATTTTTAGGAAGACAAGTTTAGAGGTTTCGAAGATCCAATAAAAAATTAAAAAAATGCCGTTTGGCAGACAAAAATGATCTCTAGGCGTAAATTATCAGATATTTTATAGAGACTTTGATAATAAGTATGGGTTATAACGTATATATCTATAAAAATTTTCATGTTCTTGCTTCGGCCGAATATATACTATATAAATTTTCATTTTCAGCTTTCTTGCGATTACTGTAATTTACCCTTTGGAAAGTTAATCACGATTGATTAGCAAAATGAATAAAATTTCTAAAAGATTTAGTACAGAACAATTCTATGTGAGCACAGTAGCACTTCTTTGTGAAATATTGTTATAATTATAATCTTTCTCATCCAATTGTTTTAGTTTGAAATTTTATTTTTAGTTTCCACTGAATGAAGGTTAGGATTATATCCGAAATGTATGAATTGTAAATGAAATTAGATTTTTTTTATTGATGTTTGCCTGATTTTTTTGTGTGTGTATGTATGTGTGTGTATATGTGTGTGTAAATGCTAGCTCAAATCATGTTCATCAGCTCATCATAAGTTCACCAGATGTTCATTAGGTGCATACGCACCTGTGCCCCAACTCAACTTCTCAAGTATTTTGTACTTGATAACGATAAAAGTGCGATTTATTGACAAAACGGTTAAAAATGCACACTCATGGCTAATTGAAAATAATACTGGATCAATGACAGTATTGTAAAATATGATTTGATTATCACAAATATTATCTAAACTATAATTGAACCTCTTAATGACTTCAAAGATGAGTTTGTATTATATATATATATATATATATATATATATATATATATATATATTATATATATATATATATATATATATATGTGTGTGTGTGTGTGTGTGTATGTGTGTATATACATATTATTTGAGTTTAAAAGTCGGGCGTTACACCAATAAAAATAGTATGAGAGTTTTTAGAAATTTATTTAAAATCCATACGTTTCGGCTAGCATCTTAGCCTTCATTCAGTGGCAATCAATTTAACTATAAAATTTAAAACTAAATAAATAATATGTAGGGAATTTAATAAAAAAACAATAATAATAAAAAAAAACTTGTACATTTTGTATTCTAATATAACAGATGAGAACAATATTAATCCATGGTGTGTGTATGTGCACAGTGGTACAATATATATTTTTTAACATCACAAACGGCAAAACACACAAATGAACATGCATACCTTTCAATAAGTTGTCGAAACTATGTATTTACTATTCGGAGTCTAGGAGAGAAATGTCACGTTTTTTCTTGAAGTGGTTCTTAACATGTGTTAAAAGTATACGAGACATTTAAAAAGCGATGGAATCTTGTCATTTTTTAAGATTTTGACACGCTATTTAGGAACCACGTGTTTGTTTCGTTCAGGGCCGTCTTGTCAAATTATTTGTTTATGACCCTGTTGTTATGCAATTGAAATTCAACCCCTCAGCGAATCATCTTTTAATTGCGTTCTCTTCGAAATGTAAAATTTCTGGGTTGAAAAAATCCATGTTATGATTTAGATTATTTACAGACATTAAATGACATTAAATAAAAAAACTTCAATCATTCTATCAAAAAATGAATGAATGAATATGCAATAACAAGCTTAGTAAGGTGAAATAGTATAAGATACAAAACAATATTAGCATCTAAGAAAGTCAAGAAAAATTACAATGTACAGCAAAAATCTATTCAATGAATAAATAAAAATCTTCAAATAATTTCATACAATTTATTTTTAATATATTCACAATACACACATTTTCAATAATAGATACTAAAAATTGATCACAATAATTTCATAAGTAGTGTCAAAATATTTAAAATATTTTATATACATAACACCAATACTTGCAAACTATACATACAAAATATATCTCACATTGAGTATAACAGTAATAATCTAGGAGAAGTAATTTGTCGAGTATTAATTAATTAATCGCAAATTTCAAGTAAGTATTTCAGAAAATCTATAATTCTACTTAATTCACTTATTTATATTAAGTAATTAAAAAGCACGTCATGTTATGGCACATTGTTACACGTGAGGACTGAAAAACATCTAGGAACATTTCATATTATTGTCTATTATTAACTTTGTACTTCTTTAGTATTTAAATAATATATTTGACAGTATGTTTTTGGTTAACTTGAATATATTAAAATAATTTGATTATTTATAACTAATAATCAATCGAATAAATGATTCATAACAAAATAATGTTTTTAAACGAGATAGCCTTCAAAAATATTTTTGATAAAATCTATATATAACATTTCCGTTTCGCGAAACGTAATAAATAACTAAAGTAGATTAAATTAAGTTCACCATAACATCTTTAATATCAAAGAAAATAAATAGTATTCGTATTTCATTGGTATAGACGAAGGCACGATGTCAACGTCCCCGTTTTTAACACTAAAGCCACTTCGGAAGTAAATTCGGAAGCAAAAATTATATAACATTGAAGTTTAGAGGCCACAAAGCCTTTTGATTCAAATTGTCTCTTTATCAATTTATGTCACTGAACACGTAACATATAATATGAAGCATTGAGCTGGTTAAACTAGGTGCATCTAGATCTACAGAACGACGAACTCAGTCTTCCTTCTTCTTGCGAAGTTTACCTTCCGTTTGTATCGTTCTGGAGACAAGGTCAACGCAATCCGCTAATGAATTCTCCGTGGAATCTAAAGTGGTTCCACTTATTCGGCTCAAAGTCATAATATAAGAGCAGGCTATCCTTAGCACTGATAATTTTGATAATTTCTGGTTATGGGAGTAGGCAGGTATAGCTTTGCGCAATGTGTCAAACGCCGCGCTTATGGTGTGGACTCTAGTGCGTTCACGAGCATTTGCCTCTATACGGCGCTCTCGCGTCATGTTTTTATAATTTCTTTGCTGTTGTTGCTGCTGCTCCTGCTGCTGATGATGATGATGTTGCTGCAGTTGCTGCTGCTGCTGATGTTTTTGTGAAGTTTGGTTAGCTCCAGAGCACTGTAATCGCTGATCACAAAATCGTGGATCCGTTTTTGCAGATGACTTGACAGGAATCGCTTGATTAAATGTGTTGGCAGATGCAGCTGGGCTTTTGGCGACCAGGGATAAAGGTTCATCTTGAGCAGTTTCATTCTTAGCAAATGCTCGATGCAAAGTAGTTACTCCAGGATGCCTATTGTATACCTGTGCTGGATTTTGTGAACTTGAATTCCACGGTCGAAAGGTTTCACTTGATTCCTCGTCCTCCAAATTTGTAAAACGCGGACGTTTTTTAATGGGATGATGACTGCTAGCGGCGGATTGAGAATTCACAACTCTCGAGGGCTCGGCGCATTTGCGTTTATTGCGAACAGATATTGGGACAACTTTAACGTCTACACTGCTGTCCTCGGATGCATCTGTAGGTGGTGAGGGGGCGCCAGTACCGACGTGCATATCGATCTCCTCGTCCGAGCAGAAACCGCTATCACGATCCAACATTACAGGACTGCCTGCTAGAACAAAACAAAGCCAAACATTAATTTATTTTGTCAAATATAGTTATTAATTGAAATATAACAATGAGAAAATCAGCAATTATGTGCCTTAAAAGTCGGTTGTTTATATAACACAACAAATGCATTAATTGATTCATTATATATAAATACACCTAAGTCTGTTTTTACACGGTGATTGGTTCCAGAAGAAGCCGTGTAAAAAAAAACCGTGTAAAAAAAGACATTGATCTTATACAAAAATGGGTGATTCGTTCCTAATCTCTAAAACCTATTAAAATTAGTGAAAAACAAAAATTTTTAGAGTATTCCCCTAAATTAGTGCTATTCACATTTGCTTTGACCAGTAAAAATTGTTTGTACGCGCTAAAGGGGAATTCACTCAAAGCTTTAAGCTAGTGTTTGCAAACTATCGATACTATCGATGGTTTCAGACTTTTTTCTTTCATAAATAGTTTTTTGTGATATGAACATTCTTTGCAAAAATTAAATTTGACAAAAAAAATTCAAGTACATAAAATTTCAAATCGTGCTAAATGGAATAAAATCGCGTAAAAAAATTAAAAATATTCAATTTTCAAACCGTGTTATATCAAAACCGTGTACAAAAAGACCGTGTAAAAACAGACTTAGGTGTAAATACAAAACTTATGTTCCATATACAAAATCGCCCGAATAACTATGCAAGTTCAATTATATAACGGCGATGTGCATCAGAGAGTGTAATACATTAGCTAATGTGCTAATTACTCATTAGTATCCCGCTATTGCTTTTTAATAATAAGATCAAATGATACTTGCAACAGCTGGCCTAATGACGTCAAGCAGTGTGAAATGCTTAACGCTGACATTTATGCAGGTCTTGGAATAATCATGAGATGGATATCCCGCATGATGAACGAATCTGAATTAAAATTTATTTAGGTAAGTATAATAAAAATACAACGTATTATATTGTACCAAGAAAACTCATTCTGAGCTGTATGCAATTAAATAAAATACGATACACATAATACCTAATACTTAACACTTATTATATAATTAAAATTTAAAAATTAAATATATTTAATTTCAAATAAATAAATTTCAATACATTATAAAACAAATTCAATCAATCCAATTTAAGTCATTCATATCGAAATAACTATTCAATTAAAACTTGCATAAAACTTTTGTTTTAACCAAATGCCGATTCATAAATTTTACCATGACCAGGCAGCATTAAAGTCAACAAGTGTAAAGTGTGTTGACATGAGTCATTCATTCAACGCTTCTTATATCATGACCAGATTTGAAATTAGTTAATTTAAGTATCGGCTACAAAAACGATCATTATTATTTATCGGTATAAGCCGATAATTCTCGATCAGTATCGATAATTAGTTAGATAACGGTTATATTGCACTAATTTGCAGAATCGTGAGTTACCGTCAATGAGTGATAACAACAAAAAATATTTTGCTACTTTTGTTATTTTCGCTTAGATGATGAGTAAATTAACAAAAATGATAACGGGCAGTCCGCTACTTATTGAATTCGTCCAAAGTGTGAATTATAAAAATTACCATCGACAATAATAATATCTGTAGACCCTAATGGTGTATTGCATCAGGTGGCAGGCACTGAATCGGTATGCACGACTCTTGTCTCTTGTCTCTTGGCTGCGTGCGATTATGTCTCACGCCCCCACATTTACAATACACAAGCCCAAGATCGCATCTGGCGTCTAGTTGTTCGACGTGAGTCATAGCGCCACAAACAAGGTAAGCAGCCAGTCCCACAGTCATCAGAAATGCACGGCGATCGATAGAAAGGCATTCCGTTATTGATAATGTTAGCTGTCTCTTCTATCACTATCTGTAGGACTGTGGGTTATCACGAAACGCAACTGAAATCGGACAATGACGAATCACATCATAGGCAGCGCGTTTCAAATGATCATTTAAATTAGTGCTCATCTTTGGATGATCTAATGTTGCCGATTGCATGATCCGATATTTGTATCGGATAATTTGATGTGCATATGTCTGGTGATCATTTTTGCCAGCCAAGAGGCATTTTTAACGTCTTTCATTGGGTCTCCAAAACCACTGGACCTGCCTTCCCAAAAATTTATTATGTTCTTCATTTCATCAATACAAATAAATCAGACTCTCTGTTATCTCAAAAACTGAATTACCATTTTTTGCATTTTTTATTCTATTTTTATTCTATTCTATTTTTTCACAAAGAATTGAATTGAATTTTCCAAATTTTAAGTGTAATCTTCTCTTTTATTTTGATCCATTTCAATTACTGAGATTAATAGTTCTCCAAATATGAAAAGTTTTCTGAGGGGCATGACCCTTAACGTGTGCAACGAAATACTTGAAATATGACATCATAAGGTGAGACATCACTTGCATAAATTACAATAGTGTAGATAGAGAATGACGAAAACAGTTTGATATACAGACTGTTTAAAATAGAGCATAGAATAAAGTTGTTTATATTTATTTTTCTTTATATTTATATATTTATGGTCACTGATCATAATATCAATATCAAACAGTGCAATTTTATAGAAAGTCTCGATTCTCCTAATTATTACCGTCTAAACTAAGCAGATCAATTTACTACTGATTACAAAACTATGCATTCGAACAATTATATCGTATCAGCAAGTGTTTTAAAACTAATTATTAACGGGTCAATCAAATATACCATTATATACATTCGCTGCATATCAAAGTTTCAAATTGCATAATATTAATTGCAACACTCATTATAAAAAAAATCACAAAACAGCATATTATGTAGTTTGCAAAAAATGATCAAATTAAAACCATTGTTATTTGTTAGCGTGCAATGACTGCGTAATTTATCGCGTGTATATTTGATATTGTTCATCCATCAGCAATATAATATACAATTTCACAATTCCATTAATTAATGCTACCACTAATATTGCAGAATTACCAATATTCTTTGATGGTCGAAAGCGGCGATGGCACAATTTTTATGAATTCGTAGATTTTTCAAATTAAGACTACATAAACACAACATGATGTGTGACGCACGACATTAATAAATGTGTACCGGAATGCAACTAAATATACGTATTGCGTATTAATTTATGATAAATCTGTTTAGCAGCTGGTGATGACAGCTTCGAATTAATTTTGAGATTTTAAATAAGAAATTGATACATGTGCACGCGTTTACTAATATATTTTAATTATATGTATAATTAGTTCGTAGCTGCAAAATTAAGCTTACTAAAATTAGTACGTATTCGCTTTTTGGATTATATAATTATATATATATATATATATATATATATATATATATATATATATATATTATACTGAAATTAAGCGATTATAGTATAATTTTCTCTTAATCAAGTACAATAACTATGCAATGTATTTTGAATGGTACGGGGATGAGGTTTCACTTTAGGGATAAAACCATATCAGAAATAGAAATAGATGTCAGTGTGAATGAATTAACTTCAGTTTGAAATTGAATAAACGTGCACATGACAAGAAATAATGTGGAAAAATAAATAAGAATTATTATGAATGATTTGATGTGAATGATGATGTCTGAATTAGAGTAATAGCGCATTAACAGTCTTAATAATTAAATTAACCTACAATAATCGAACAAAAAAATTAAGCATGGTAAATAACATTAACCGAAAAGAAATCTTATATTGTTGAAGTACCTCAACATCGCTTTTGTAAAAATACGAGTACTAGACATCATGCTAAAATTTACTAAAATCATCCTAATGCAACTTTGGCTCATCTGCTTGATAATCCGCCTATAAGAAAACTACACAAGAAACTGCCTATTGACTTAATGTAAAAAAATGGTTTTCCATAGTCAATTGCTTATTGGAGCAATTACTACAATTTGTTTTTTTTTTCTTTTTTTTTATTTATTTGTAATTAATTTTTATTTATTCATTTATAAATATCATTATTATTTTTTTAATTTCCTTCTGGGATTATTATTATTATTTATTATTATGTGTATTTAGCTCATAAGGTCTGTAAATAACTCTGATTGTTATAAACAAAAAAATGTTAAAGTGTTTTAATAACTTCAAAAGAGAAGGATTTAGTTTTTGCTACAATTGTGTGCGTAAAGTAAGAGCATGAGTAATTGAAAGTAAGATTTAACAAGATTTATCGGCACGCAAATGCGATTACAAATCACCGAATGTGACATAACCTTGCAACTGTGTTCAATGACGTGCTGAGCTCAGCCAGTACAAAGCACAAAGCGCGAAATCCGGACAATCTCTCGCAGGGCGTCGCGATAAATCAAGCGATTATGTAACAGAGTCCGTCGGACGAGCGTATTTTCCAAGTGGCGGCTCGGTCCGACGCGGCGTTCACCCACGCCAGTCGAAAGACTCCGGACTAAAATCTCCTCACTATCTGCGAACGTTTGCGATGGAATTGCGGTGATATTGCGAATGTCTCGTCCGTGACTCCGGCCCGGAGGGGGATCTCCAGCACCGAGCAGCCGAGATCCTGCCTGAATGGCGCCATATAAAGCAGCGTCGTACAAAACATCAGAAGGGGTCGGACAAAATTACACTTTACAGTAACAGATAATAAGTAAACAACTATATACCATGAAGAAAGACAACATTTAAGATCACAATAATTAATTATATCATCTAATTTTGATCAATGGTAGATTTTAACAATTTATTGAAATTATATATGTATAATTTTGGCCTTACTAATTCTCATATTCAATCCATTTATAAAATTTATCAAACCAGTAAAGCAGAATTCAATAATTTTTGCCAGTAGATAAACAAATTTCGTGACATTTATTATAATGCCAATATAGTTTAAGGGGCACAACTAGTGTGAAATTTTGAAAAAATCGATTTTTGTTTTTTTTCATATTTCGGTAGATTACACCTTTAAAAATAATATATTAAAATTTCAAATCGATATCTCAATTAGTTTTTGAGTTACAGCCATTTAAAAAGT